ACGAACACGAAGGGTTTTCTCCTTTGGAATTGGTTCTCACAGAATCGCAGGATCAAAAAATCACAGAGCAACAGCAGCACGGAAACACAGAATAACAGAATAACAGAATCACAGAATCACAGAAACACAGAGCAACAGAATCACGGAAACACAGAATAACAGAATAAAAGAATCACAGAATCACAGAATAAAAGAATCAGAGAATCACAGAACAACAGAATCACAGAAACACAGAATAAAAGAATAAAAGAATCACAGAAACACAGAATAACAGAATCACAGAAACACAGAATAACAGAATCACAGAATCACAGAGCAACAGAATGACAGAAACACAGAATAAAAGAATCACAGAATAACAGAATCACAGAAACACAGAAACACAGAGCAACAGAATCACGGAAACACAGAATCACAAAATCACAGAAACACAGAACAACAGAATCACAGAAACACAGAATAACAGAATCACAGAATCACAGAAACACAGAGCAACAGAATCACGGAAACACAGAATAAAAGAATCACGGAAACACAGAAACACAGAATAACAGAAACACAGAATAACAAACACAGAATAACAGAATAACAGAATAAAAGAATCACAGAATAACAGAATAACAGAATAAAAGAATCACAGAATAACAGAATCACAGAATAAAAGAATCACAGAATAATGAAGTTAGAAAAGACCTCTAAGATCATCAAGTCCAACCTATGCCCTAACTTTTCACAGAATCACAGAATAACAGAATTACAGAATCACAAAATCAGAGAATCACAAAATCACAGAATAACAGAATCACAGAATCAGAGAATCACAAAATCACAGAACCACAGAATAACAAGGTTGGAAAAGATCTCTAAGATCATCCAGTCCAGCCTATGCCCTAACTTTTCACAGAATCACAGGATCACAGAATAACAGAATTACAAAATCACAGAATCACAGAACAACAGAATCACAGAATAAAAGAATCACAGAATCACAAAATCACAGAATAAACGAATCACAGAATAAAAGAATCACAGAATAAAAGAATCACAGAATCACAAAATCACAGAAACACAGAACAACAGAATCACAGAATAAAAGAATCACAGAATCACAGAACAACAGAATCACAGAATAACAGAATCACAGAATCACAGAATAAAAGAATCACAGAATAAAAGAATCACAGAATCTCACAATCACAGAATCTCACAATCACAGAATTCCTGAGANACAGAATCACAGAATCACAGAATAAAAGAATCACAGAATAAAAGAATCACAGAATCTCACAATCACAGAATCTCACAATCACAGAATTCCTGAGAGATGGAGAGCATCGTTTGTGTGTGGAGTGAGGATTGAGCTGCCCCACTCAGCCCAGGCCTGGAAGCTTTTGATGCAGTGAGAATTCAGTCGTGGCACAATTAGAAATTGTGTTAAGGTCATTACAAAGCAATCAGCTATCCGAGTGTGAATTAGGGCAGAGCTGCAGTGTGAAAAGTTTGGCCACCTTTAGGAAAAGGTAAATAATGTTGGCGTGCCAATCAGAGTGCTTTGTAAATTCTAAACCGTATGGAAATGTATAAAAATTGTTAAATTGTGCCCGTTTGTATTAGTTCCCTGCCACTTTTGCAGGCGAGACTGGGTGTATATTGGAAATTAATTTAATTTACAAATAAAAGGATGTGGCTCGGGTGCTGATCATCGCATAAACGACCCGAGATGGATCTCATGGATCTTGTGGCTGGCTAGATAGAATTGGATTGCAAATAAATATTTTATTTTTTCATTTTAAATTTGGCCGGACACATTTTTATTGATAAAAATATCACGGAAACCCTCGGGCAGATCCATGTGAGTGCAGCCTTCCTGTAAAATCAAGAATTCACCTACTCCGGACACTGAATTGTTCCTCCTCATCACCAAAAAA